CAAACGGAGCCAGCCAATGGGAGCTGCTCGTGCTCCCGCTTAAAGAACGGACCTGGTTGGAAACCCCAACCGGTCCCCAAGACATAACAGGAAGTTTGCTTATTGTAGGTAGTCCTTGAGTTATGACCCATTTGGAGCCAACTCATCATGATCATAACTTGTTATGGTCTTAAAGTGACTGACCCAATTTTATGACCTTTTTTGTACTGGTCATTAAGTAAATTACCACCATTGTTAAGCAAATTCATAGTTGTTACGAGAAACAATGATTCACTATGGGCAGGGGAATGATAAAACTGTAAGTAAATACTATTTTTTGGCAAAAGTGACATAAAACAGGGTAATGTGACTGCAGGACACTATAAATGACTCTAAATGCACCTCAATGAAAAAAATCCTATTGTCCGCAAACGCTTGCAACTTATATTCTTCTTTCTTAACCTTTAATCCTTTTATATCTGGGTTCTGTTTAATTCACATTAATAATGTTTCTAATGATAATATGAATCGCAGGGGTGAGAGTGGGCAACCCTGTCTGACTCCTTTTTCTATTTTTATTGGGTGGGTATATCCCCCATTTATTATATTAGCTTGTTGTGTATCATAAATAGTTCTTATAATATTTTCAAATTTGATTCATATTATAAATTTTTTGGATTAAAAATTGCCAATTTAAATTGTTGAAGGCCTTCTCTGCATCTAAAAACATAAGTGCAATTTGTTTTTCGGGGTGAGCTTCATAAAATTCTAAGACATCTACTACTGTTCTTAAATTGTTCCTGATTTGTCTGGTCGGGAGAAATCCATTTTGGTCTTCATGTATATTGGTGTTTAGCATTCTTTTTAATCTGCTTGCTATAATAGTAGTAAATATTTTGTAGTCGGTGTTAGACAGAATTAGACAGAACCCAAACATAAAAGGATTAAAGGTTAAGAAAGAAGAATATAAATTGCAAGCGTTTGTGGGTGATATGATTTTTTTCATTGAGGAACCAATAGAAAGACAAAAATTGATGAATGAATTATAACAATTTGGAGCAGTAGCAGGACTTAAAATTAATAGGAAGAAAACTAAATTAATGACTAAAAATTTAACAGAAAAACAGAAAATAGAGTTAAAAAGTTATGGAAATACAAGTGACAAAGAAAGTTAAATACTTAGGAATATGGTTGACAGCACATTGTAAGACACTCAAGGAAAATACTTATGATAAATTGATGCAATGGGTAAAGAAGGATTTAGAATCATGGGGTAAGCTGCAACTTTCATTATTAGGCAGGATTGCTGCCATTAAAATGAATATTCTTCTAAAATTTCTATATCTATTTCAGACGATCCCAATTAAACTACACAAAAAATTTCTTTGAAGAACTCAACAAAATAACTGTTAAATTTATTTGGCAAGGAAAAAAACCTAGAATAAATTTAAAGGCAATGCAGGATATGAAGAGCCGGGGAGGACTGGCACTGCCAAATTGGGAGTTGCATTATATTGCTGCCTCTTTAGTATGGTTGAAGGAATCGGTGAATTTAACTAACAAGAGAATATTATTTTTAGAAGGCCATGATTTGCAGAGGGGGTGGCATGCTTTTTTATGGGATGTAGGGAAAACTAGTCAAAAATATTTCCACAGACATCTAATCAGAGACTCATTATTAACTAATTGGAAGAAAATATGGAAAAAACACTGTATAGAAGTACCAATCTGGATTTCAACAATGGAGGCGATGATTCACCCAAATAATCTGGATATCACTAAAATGATTAAATAGAAGGATCTATTGGATACATAAGGAAATTTGAAATCAAGGCAAGAACTTCAAGAGCGAGGACAAAAAATTGATCAGTGGGCATACCTTCAAATTCAAAGTACATACAAACAGGACAAAAAAGAATTTGTAATCAACAATAAACTCCAGCAATTAGACAAATTTTTACTAGGATCAGGCAAAAAAAAATATAACAAAATTTTATAATTATTTATTAGAAGTCAAATTAGAAGAAGAAATTGTAAAAGGGAACATGATTGCCTGGAGTAGGAATGTAAGACGTAGCATCACCTTAACAGAATGGGAAAAGGTCTGGGGTAGAAACAATAAGATTACAAAATTGGTAGCATATAAAGAAAATGCCTATAAAATGTTTTATAGATGGCACCTTCCTCCTTCGAGGTTAGCAAAGATGCACCCCAATATGAGTCCAAATTGTTGGAAATGCAAAAAAAAAAGAAGGAACTTTTTTCCATATGTGGTGGTCCGGTACAGAAGCTCAAAAATATTGGCAGAAAATTAAAATTTGGCTGGAAGAAATGACAAAAGAGCAGATCAAATACAAACCAGAGTCCTTTTTGTTAGGGATCTTTAATAAAGAATTACCAAAATATCAAAAAAAGCAAAATACATAATAATACACATTTTGACAGCAGCCAGACTAGCCTTTACCCAATGCTGGAACCAGCCTCAGGTTCCATCAGAGGAAATAATCATTCAAAAAAATCTCAAGTTGTGCAGAAATGGACAAACTAACTTTGGCACTAAAAAATAAAGACCTCAATATACTACAATAGCTGGAACTGCTGGTACAAATGGATTGAACAAAAATAGATTTTACACTATAAGGTAAAAGAGGATAGGATAAACCCATAGCAGTGATATACAGATATATGTAAAGATTAGGTGTGGGTATATGGCATAAATTAAGGGTTAAGGGAGATCTTACAAACTGTTGAAGATGAGAATGTTTTTAATTGCTTTCTATTTTTTCTTTCTATTTTCTTCTCCTTCTTTTCTTTTCTTTCATTTGTGTATGTTTAGTTGGTTTGTTTTAATTGTATAATTAATAAATTTTATTTATTAAAAAAATGACTCTAAATGTAATAAAGTTGCCCAATGTCCAAATTGTGGTCATGTCACCATTGGGGTGGGCAACTGTCAGAACTTCAAATCCAAGTTGTAAATATCCCCTTTGGAACTTTGACTGTCACTACTCAATGAGTCATTAGTCAAGTACTACCTGTAGCTTGGATTAAGTGTGTAGCAGGTATTGATTTACTAGTTTAGACAAAAGTGGGAACTAATTATCTAGGAGGGAAATTTGTTATGTCACACCTCATAAGAGTAGATAGGAAGAGCAAGGTTGTCGAAGCAGGTGAGATAATTTAATGTAAATATAATTTCAGAATGTGAAGAACCAAATGAGATTGACTTTGGGGAAATTGTGAGCATTGAGAAAGCCAAGTACCTGGAAAATGACCGAGTACAATACAGATGCAACCCTTCCTATGTCTTGGAAGGACCTGAATGGATTCAGTGTAAGGGACAAGAATGGACACCTCATCCACCAAAATGCTTGGGTAAGCCATCATGCTTTCTTTGACTAGTGTAGACCTGGGAGAAAATGCAGAATTTGTGCAAGCAAATAAGTTGATATAGTGAGTGGTTTGAACTTTAACTTTGCTGTTGCTTAACCTGTTAACAGTTCTTATTTCATTTATGTAATGCATGACAGATCAATTGGATTGCAAATAGATGTACAAGCTTATAAATTCTGGACCTGCTTTGTAAGGGTGGAATTATTATTGTTGCAATAGATTTGTCAGTGTTCAACTAGGGAGGGATAGAATATGTGCTTTTGACCTTTTTTAATTCACATTTTAAATGTTTTTGTCTAGTTTAGTTTTGTCTCTGTTTATTTTTTTCTTTTGAATTTTATATTTTAACCTTTTGAATAAAATAAAATTGTAAAAAAAATGAAATCAAGGGAAACAATCTTCATCATATTTCAATAGACTTTGGAATACTCCAGCTGTCTAAAATTCTGTTCCATTACAACTCAGCCAACTCAAAATGTCTTCGCAAAAGATTCTGAGTTGGGCTGTTTGTTCTTAGTTTGAAATAACCAAGACGATCTGTTTGTACATGCTTCTACAAGCCAGTCTTCTGTGATATGTCTAAAATCTATTGCTGAATCATAACTTGTTCATCAATAATACTGTGCTCTAACTTGGTTTATTTGATTTTAGCCTGGAACTGTCAGTTGTGATTTGCAAACCCGATTTTCCTGGTAGTGAAACTGAGGGAAACCAATGGACAAATTATCTCCCTTGAGAAGATCTACCTTCTTTTCTCTTTTTTAGCACCCTGCAGTATCACAAGACAACAGTTAGCAGCAAAAAACTTGTTTGTGTTTGGGAATCAAAGAAAAGCTCGGCTTATTCAAAGTAACCAGAACCTACAATTTCAGTGTAATGAAGGATATGTGCTTGTGGTTCCATCAGTCAGAAAATGTGTTGACGGTTACATGGATTTCCCATTATGTATCTCTGGTAAGCTTGCTGTCAATATGATGGATTCCTCTGGGATCATAACTAATTAAAACAATTATGTTAACATCACAAATCTGAACATTTGCTTCTAAACTCCCATTCTTTTAAAAATGATTTCATCTTCCCTGAAATAATTCACATCTTGTCTTGGAATTTTAATAGTTGTAATCTAAAACAAAACAACTGAAGCATATTTTTCCAAACATCTGAATTGTTTCTACAGTTTAGTCCAAAATCTTGAACTTTAGCTAACAACTATGACTCCATAGTGGTTGAAAATATGCATAAAATTGGTAGGCAAAAAGTATGTTTGAAAAATTACAAAGGTTGTATAAAGTATGTTGATGTCCTATCATTAAAGGAGTCCCATATTGTCCCTGATGAAAAATCTCTTTTGTTTGAAATTGCTTGGATGAATTCATCATATGGTAAATGTTAATATTGAACTGATTATGATTTTATTTAATAATTCCATAGGTTCCAGAATATTTAGGTGATGAAGGATATTTTATTATTCTTTGTTTGCAAACATTTAATTTTCAGATCGTTATGATAATTTTTATAGCTCTTCAAAAATTAGTTCAGAAGATATTTTTTAAAATTATCCCTTCATCATTTATATATAGGAGGAAGCCTAAATCTTGTGCATTTTCAACTTGGTATAAATATTTCTCCTAAAAAAAATATTTATAAAATAATCAGAAACTATGTAAATTGAATATGCAGATAAATTGTTAGAATATTGTTTAAAACAAGTGAAACAACAAAATATAAAGTTTGAAATATCTACACATGAGGGCCTGAGAATTACAGATCCTGAGTGTATTAATTTTCTTTCTTCCAATGGAATGAGCAAGCATATAATACTGATGTTACTATGCAGTTATTTTATCATCTCTATCTGTGTCTAATTATTATTTTAACTGAATATTATCCTTTTTGGTCTTTAATAGAGAGTGATTATGTGTTGGTCTTGCGAGGTAGACCAGAGAGGATGTGTGGTTAGAGTAGCTAATTCTAATTTTCTATAGAGTTAATTAATAGAATTCTGCAATCCTAAAGTAGATTCCTTCCCCCTGTGCCTTTGAATCTGGGAGGGTCTTTTCTGAACTGCTTTCCCTGTCTATTCCGAGAGTGGGTTACCTTTTATCGGATAGTTCCCTTGGTTGCATTTGTTTTTCTTTCTCTCAATGTCATTTCTACATACAATTTCATCATATATTATTGTCAAGATCTGCGTCAACATAGAGCAAAAAGAATATGAATGAAGAGGGGGCAGGGGAGAGAGAGAAATAGAGAGAAATAGAGAAAAGTAGATTGTGAACAGTTGGGTACATTGTCCCAAAGGTGCTTTTTCAAAAGACTATTGGACTTTCTTTGTTTTTCCTTGAAGACGTTTCATATCCTATCCAGGAAGCTTCTTCAGTTCAGAAAGTGGGTACATTGTAGTTCTGTTGAGAAGTAGCATGTGTTCTGATGCTGAAGTTTCATAAATACTTAACTTGCTTATGAAATAATTCCACTTGAATTATTACCTGATTTTGTGAGGAAAAAATGAGCCGAATCTGTAATAATTTTAAGCCAATTTCTTTCTTTTTAATTATTATTTTAAGGAATGTCACCCACTTTAGCTAGCATTTCCTATTGGTTTTTTTGTTCTCTGTTTAATAGAAAGAGGACAAAGCTGCAGGATCCACCCAGGATTGAGAATGGAGACATTATTCCTTTATCTGAGCAGGGGAAAGACCCTCATGTTGAGAAAGATTGAAGGCAAAAGGACAAGGGGACAGCAGAGGATGATATGGATAGATATTGTTATTGATGCAATAAACATGAATTTGGACAAACTCCAGGAGACAATGGAGGATAGGGATCATTGCTTGCAATGGTCCATGGGATTGTGAAGAGTCAGACATGACTTAGCAACTGAACAACAACATCACAATTCAACAAGGGGCATTATAATATTTACTGGATAGCTAAAAGAATGCTTTAAAAGTATTGTCTGTCACACCTGTAATGCTGGAAGTAACCCTTGGGTGGAAGGACATTGACTGATAGGATACTGAATTGCCCCACTATTAATAACAATAAGCTCATTAATATGAGCAAAAAAAGCAGAACTAAAAAATCAAGAGAAACAGGGGCCAATGTTCAATGCTTAGAAATGTTGCGTCATATTTTGACATAATATGGAACAAATTTTGTTCCACTATAACTCAGTTCACTCAAAATATCTTTGCAGAAGATTTTGGGTTAAGCTGTTTATTCTTAACTTGAAACAAACCAAACAACATCTTGTGCATGCTTCTACAAGCCAATTCTCTGTGCTAAGTCTATAACAGAATCATAATTTTATTATCATTAATATTGTGCTTTAATTTGGCTTATTTCATTTTGACCTGGAACTATCCATTGTGATTTGCAGATAAGACTGATTTTCTTGAGGGTGGAATAGAGGGAAACTAATGGACAGTTATCTCTATTGAGAAGATCTGAATTATTTTCTGTGTTTTTTAGCACCCTGCAGTATCATAAGACAAGATTTCTATCAAAATCTTGGTCAACATAGAGCACAATTGATGTTTTATGTATCGAAGTATAGGAAGAGAGAGAGAAAGAGAGAGAGGGAGCGAGGGAGGGAGAGATCACAAGCATTTGTGGTCTATTGAGTTGTAGATTCTGAGTTTCATAAATACTGAATAAGTAAGTAAATACTTATGAAAGAATTGTACTTTAAAAATAGTAATAATTTAAAACCATTTTTGTCATTGTTATTTCAAGGAATGTCAGCAACTCCAGCTAACATTTGCTGGCTTTTTGGTTTTTTTTTCTATTTAATAGTAAGAGGAAAAAACTGCAGTGGTCCACCCAGGACTGAGAATGGAGACATCACTACTTTATCTGAGAAGCTGTACAGATCTGGCTCTTCAGTAGAATTCAGATGCCAAACATATTATGCCATGGAAGGCCAGAACAGATCTTTTTGTGACAATGGGACCTGGACAAAAGTGCCCATTTGCCTGGGTAAGCAGAAAACAAAGTCTTCATCCAATTTTCATGAGCATTTCTAATCATTAAGATTCACTTCTCTCTCTCTCTCTCTCTCTCTCTCTCTCTCTCTCTCTCTTATAAAAAAGATTTAATTGATGTTGCCTGCAGCAGCTCTCCTTTATATACAATTTCAGTCCTATATCTGAGGTGAAATAGCTACTAGATGAAAGCTAAATCTAGCTAAATCTTGCAATATGGTAATATGATGTATTTGGATCCCAACAGCCTTTTCTAATAGGATTTGCTTTCTTTTTCCACCTCAGATCCCTGTGTGATCTCCAGGACCGAATTGGAAAGCCAGAAAATAGATGTTAAAGATGAAATAGATGTGCCTGAAAATATATTTATTCAACGTGGTCATTCTATTGAGCTGACCTGTAAAACAGGATATGTCCTGGAAGCATATTCTTCCCAATCAGCTTTTGTAATCCAGTGTGATGGGACACCATCCGTGATTCCTAAATGCAAAGGTGACTTCAAAAGGTTAATTTTATAATTCTGCTATCACCAATACAAAGCCAAAGCACTTCAGTTTGAGTCTATTAATGATTAGAGCTAAAATAAGCTGCAATTATTTATGTGCTTTGGTACTACTTTGGTACTGGTACTAATATTTTTATTCCTCTTGAAGCATTCCCAGCTGGGCTGCACTTTTCTATGTTGGGCGTGACTTGGTGGTCATGTGACTGGGTGGACATGGCTTGGTGGTTATGTTATTGGCTGGGTGTGGCCAACTCAATATCACTCACATTGAGGCATGCATCTCCTCGCCTGGCCTCTCATGACTGTGGGGATGCTGCAACAGTCGTAAGTGTGAAAAATGGTCATAAGTCACTTTTTTCAGTGCCATTGTAACTTTGAATGGTCACTCCACAGAAGCAAAGTACTAGCAAAGGAGGGAAAAAAAACTCCAGACACATTCCTGAGACAGGAAGTCCAGTCCTGCCAAGTGGCAGAGCGACCAGCAGCCAATAGCAGGACTTGTGTGAGGACAACCAGTTCAGTGGCTTGGGCAGACCTGATACCAGGCAGGGGCCTGAGGTCAAAGGCTCAAAGGGGGAACAGACAGAAAAGCCACCCACTAGGACACCAGTAGGAGAGTGATAGTAAGAGCCATCAGTAAACAAAACAAAATCACAATTAAGAATGGGAATGTCCAATAGATCCTGACAAGATTTAGAAAGTATGGAGCACAGAAATTCACAATCATGGGGTTCTCCATCAGAAGTTATAGGCAAGAGATGGGGTGAGGAACAGCTATTATCAAGGTCAGCAGAGCAGTTGACCAATAAGGTGGCAGCAGCAATGGCTCGTAGGCATGGGGGCA